TAACAGCCCTCTGTAACTCCAGTTCCAAGGGATCCGACACCTTCTTCTGACATCCATGGGCATTGTATGCACATGGGTGCATTTATATACATGCAAGCAAAACACTCATACATATAAAAATAGACAGGCACTGATTCCGTCATGAAGGACCCACCCTCATGACCTAATCACCTTCCCTAAGCTCCATTTCCTAACACTACCCCACTCAGGGTTAGAGTTTCACTATGTGTCCAGACATGGTAGTGCACACCTGTAATTCCAACACTTGAGAGGCTGAGGCAGAAGGATTGCTAGTTCAAGGCCAACCTGGACTACACAGAAAAACCATGTCAGAAAAAAAAAAAGAAAACTTCTAGAGCTAGGGATATAGTTCAGTGGTAGAGTGTTTACTTAGCATACATAAGCACTTGGGTTTAAATCTTGAAACTTACAAAAAGTTTTACTGAGGGCCAGTGAGATGGCTCAGCAGGTAAAAAGGTGCTTGCTGCCAAGTCTGAGGACCTGAGTTCTATCTCCAGAACCATGTATAGGTGGCAGGAGAGAACCAACTCCATAAAGTTGTCCTCTGACCTCCACATATGTGCCATGGCAAACCCTCCCCCCACCATCATCCACACAAACACAATAGTAAAATTAAAAAATTAAATTTAAAGTGAGTTTTTCTGTATGCATTTTAGGGGAACATCCATACATGACTGTAACAAGCCAGAACTCAGATGTGGATTCTGATCCACTCCCTGACACTGAGCAGCCACAGATCCAGAATCCAGATGTGGATTCTGATCCACTGGCACGTGGCACTGAGCAGCCACATCCTGAGCTTCCATGCCACCCTGTAAAATAAACTATCTCCTTCTATAATAGTTTCTTCTTATGTGTCTGGGTGTTTTGCCTGCATGTATGTAAGTGTACCCATGTTGTTCAATGCCCATGGAAACCAGAAATGGACATTGGAGCCCCAGGAACTGGAGTTATGGACAACTGTTAGCCACCGTGTAGATGCTGGGAACTGAACCCAGGTCCTCTGCAAGAGCAGCTAGTGCTCTTAACTGCTGAGCCATCTCTCCAGCCCCCTTGTCAGGGTATTTTATCGCAGCAACAGAAATGAAACCAGGACTATCTCCAAGGAATATTATTCATTCATTTCTTCCTTCAGTCTGTTGTCATACATTTATTGAGCCCCCAAACTGTTCCAGCTCTCTCAGGAGCTGTTGATACCATGGGGAAACAATAGCAAATTTCTGACTTGGAACTCCCAGTTTAGCTAAAGAAAAATATTAATTCCACGATGACAGAAACAAGTGAAAAAAGATCACAAAAAGTATTATGGTTTGAAAGGAACATGTATTAGTTAGGATGAATGGGGTTATGCTGTGGTAACAAGCATTTCCCATGTCTTAGTGAGTTTCAACCACCATGTTTACTGTGGGTCAGCTGGCCTCTGCTGGCTGAAGACCTTCTAATCTCTGATGTTGGGGGTTCTGCACAGAGAGAGAACCACAGAGTATCATGTTCTGGAAATTAAATATGGCCTCAAAGTATCTTGTGTTACTTCTTCCCACTGTTGACTCAGAGCTTGTCAATGGCCTTCCATGCTAAAACGAGGTCAGAAAGTGTCACCTTATCCTGTACTGGGGAGGTAGAGAGCCAGGAAGATCTGGGAGCCACACTGAGGACTGTTCTGAAAGCACCTATGTAGTGGGAAGACTCATCCATGCTGTGAGCAGAGCTCATCTCCCTCTGGCTGTGTGACTAAGGGCCTGAGCTATTTGCTGGCTGTCAACCTGAGGCCATGATCGGGTCCCAGGGCCACTTGCAGTTCCTACAGCCTGCAATTCCATGCAGCTCCTTGCAGACTTCCTCAGTATGACTTCTGAGAGAGTCAGCTTTCTGTGACTGTGACAAAATGTCTGAGATAACCAGCTTATAGAAAGGGAAGGTTTGGCTTGTAGTTTCAGAGGCCAATCCACGCATGGTTGGTCGGTGCATCTGTTTCTGGGCCAGAGTCAAGGAAGCACAGTAGAGCACATGGCAAAAGAAACGGCTTGTGGCATCACAGCTGGGGAGCAAAGATGGCAAAGCACCAAGTCCCAATATCCCCTTCAAAGACACCCCGCAATGACCTAACTTTCTTCTGCTTGGTCGGCCTTCTGAAGGTCTTACTACTTCCCACTTAGTGCCACAGGCTGGGGGAGGGGGAGGGGCAGGCTTTAATATGACTCTTTAGGAGACACAGATCAAAACCACAGCAAGTTGTATGGCTATCAGACCCTGCACTAGTCTGAGATAGAGTCCTATAATGTCATTTCATCATGACAGTGACAGCCCAAAACCTTCGTCAGAAGATCAGACGCAAGGTCATGGGTCTCGTGAAATACTTGATGAAAACAACTTAAAAATGGGCTTACTTTGGCTCACAGTTTGAGGGGATAGTATCATGGCAGGGGATCAGGAGCATGAGGTGGCTGGTCACAGGTGTCTGCAGTGAGGAAGCAGAGGGAGATGAATGCTGGCGATCAGCTAACTTTTTTTACTCATTCGGGTGATGTCTCCCCACAGTTAGAGTGAGTCTTCCTCAGTTAAGCCTCTCTGGAAGCTCCTTCATGGACACACACAGAGGTCTGTCTTCTAGGTGACTCTAAATCCCATCAGGTTGACAATCGAAGTCAACCATCATGTTGTCCACTCTGAAGTGCAGAGGGACCCAGGCAGGTAGGAAGGACCCAGGAGGTAGGAAGTTACTGGGGTCTTGTTAGGGGTCGCAGTGGGGTGCTGACAGCCTCCACTTTGGTCGTGAGACTGTCAGTTCTGGGTAGACAGGCCTGAGCGATGAACTGGAAGACACCTGCTGGCCTGTCTATACAGCTGCACTCACTGACTCAATGAAGAGGCTTCAGTTGGCTTTTACAGTACCTTGACCTGGTACCACAGGGGGAAGCTGGATGCTGGGGAGGGTGTTGAGGTCTCTCAAGTGTGTGTGTGGCGTCTGTAGGGAAGTGTGTACACACGTTCTTGCGTAGAGGCCGGGGGAGGGCATTGGGTGTCCTTCTCTGTCACTCTCTATTCCCTTGAGACTGGGGTCTCTCACTGAACCTGGATCTTGGCTGGCAACCAGTAAACCTTAGGGACTCTCCTCTATCCCTAGCTCCTCTCCCCATGGCTATGAGGATACAGGCACACAGCAGCCATGCCCAACTTTGTTTTTTTTTTGGTCTTTCTGAGATAGGGTCTCCCTGTAGCCCCAGCTGTCCTAGAACTCACTATGTAGACCAGGCTGGCCTTGAACTCACAGAGATCCACCTGCCTCTGCCTCCTGAGTGCTGGGATTAAAGGCGTGAGCCACCATGTTCTTACCCATCGAGTCATCTTCCCAGCCCACCCCTGGGATCTTCGTTTTTAAAGACTCATCATGATCCTTTCCTAAGCTCACTGTGTGACCGAAGGCCGGTGGCTTATGTCTTTTGTGCCTTAAAGTTCCCAGTTAAAAAACTGAAGGAGGTCAACAATAGAAACAGCAGCCTCTCGGTGGCTTGTGGGGACATGACACATGATCCTTATGAAAAGGTTTGTGTTCTGATCACTCATGGATGCCCAAAAATATTGGCTATTTTTATCTTTGTTACTCTCAGCTTCTGCCTCCCAGTGAGCCCCTGTGGACTCTCAGGGCACAGTTCCCTCACTGTGCAGGGACTTTTCAGACTATGGGTACCACAGGAAACTTTTGGTATGTAGTGCATGGGGTGAGCACTGCCCTGTCCTCCAGGGCTGATGCTCAGTTCAGAGAGTCTTTCCTATCTGTCCTGTCAGGACTTCAGTGTGGAAATTTAGGGCAATGAATTTTAAGAGGCATTAATATTTCATGTCTGGCTCTTGTGCTGATAAACAGCGTATATAGTTTCTGGGAACAGCCAGGCCCACCGGCTCCTGTGGATCAGCTGAGCAGGGCCTGGCGTCCTGTCCCAGTAGAGTGATGGAGGGTTCTCCCCCCACTGCAAGAGACGGGAAGGGTAATGTGTACAAGTTCTGAGGACTTGGGGAGCTAAGCCTGTGCCTGAAGCTTTGGGAGAAGGGACAAGCAGGGAAAGGCAGTAGAGATCCAGCACAGACCGGGGTGGGGGGGTGAGGGGGTGGACACACGACACGGGACGGGATGGGGGCGGGGGCCACACTGGGAGATGCCTGTGTGTGTCCCCCATCTTGTCCTTGGGGGATAGGGCTGCATGAAGAGGCTACAACTGACCACAAGGGAGACACCCTGTTGTGTAATTATGAATATTTCTTCCCAATCGAAACACTCCTTCTGGGAGGGGAGAGGGAGAAGGGAGGAGGGAAGAAGGAAGGAAGGAGAGAGGCTCTTAAAATTCAGGAAGCTGAGGAAACAAGACTCCACAAGCCCAGTAAGTTCCAAGATTCGCAAGACTCCTTCCCATGGTTGTTTAAGCAGGAGAAGACTCTTGAGGGGAGCCGTCTATCAGGTGTATCCAAAGCTCCAAGGATATAGCTCCTGTGAGTGATGTCATAGGTGCTGAGGTAACATCACATGTGCTCAAACTCCTCTAAGTAACTCCAATAAACTCACCGGTTCACCAAGCTGGACTTGGATGGAATAATTTCTTTGGTCTATCAGCAGCTGTATCTGCAGTGAACAGATATTTGTTCATACATCCCCACGGAAAGTTAGGCAACACACTCTAAGAATGTCCTTCCCTCCCTCCCTCCCTCCCTCCCTCC